CGGCTCGTTCCCGGCGTCGCCCCGGCCTGTGATGCTCCAGGTACGGCCCTCCCCCCTTACCTTCCGTTCCCTGCGGCGCTGCGTGTCGAGGCCGGGACGGAATACCCCGGGCCGCCGCAGCCAAGCGCGAGGGGGAACGCCAGACGCCTCGCGCGAAGGGGGGAGGCCTGGCGACGCTGCGCCCTGACGGGCGCTCACCAACAGGGCTAGGGAGGCCGAGACGGCCAGGGAGGAACAGCCAAAATGCCCCCTCGGCTTATAAGCGGGTCACCAATTTTTCCCAGTTCTTTGTGGGAAAATCGGTCCCTCGGCTTATATTCGGGTCGACCTATACTCGAGTATATACGGTACATTCTGGAGAGATTTTATCTTTGATCATGTGCATTTCTGCAGATATGTAGTGTTCTCTTACATATAGTGCAACTCCCCCTCCTCTTTTTGTAGACCTGTTTCTTTTGAACAATTGGTATCCATCCATCAGTCCATTCCAGTCATGGGTTTCATCCTACCAGGTTTCTGTTATGCCAACTATGTCATACCCTCCCTCGTGTACTATTGCTTCTAGTTCGCCCTGTTTGTTCCCCAAGCTTTGAGCGTTTGTATATAAGCATTTAAGACTTTTATGCCTGTCCATGGGAGTGTTTCCTGTATCTCCTGGTTTTCTTCAGTTTTGTTATCACTGTTCAATTTTTTTCTTTTGGATTTTAATCTTCTCTATAAAATAAAATGGTTAAAAAAAGAAGAGGCAGCAGAGAACTGTAAAATGGTTGTGCACAGAGAGTCCACAAAGCCAAGATGGCAACTGTGACCTTGCAATCAAAAGCCCAAAAGTCCATTGCATGTCATCAGGGAGTTGGGATTTGTTCACTGACACTTGGGCTGTGCACAAAGCTACCAGAACATTCACTAGGACCAAGGGTAGGATGAATGCAAAGCCAGTGTGCTGAGTGGTTGAGCAAACCAGGCTCCAACTCCCCAGTCAGCCATGAAGTTCTCTGGAGGACCTCCATTGCTGTTGTAGGGAAAGACAGGAGACGTACTATGTGTGCCTCCTGGAGCTCATGGAAGAAAGGCAAGGTATACATGCCATAAGTAAATTAATCAGAGAAATCAACAAATGGAAAACTATGAGCACAGAGACAGCAGAAGTATGGAAGAAAAGTAAACTCCTTTAATCTCTCCAAAGGACTGGTGGAAGTTGGCCCTTCATCCCCAAATGTTATTATGAAATATCCCCAGTACAGATAGGAACACAGAAGACATGGCACAGGGAACCAATCCACCAGTAGTGCTGCTTACCCATTGTTTCTTCTTGGTTTGAGAGATCAGCTGCTTGTGCTGACTGGCTAGCTTCTTAACTTCTTCTAAAAATTCCTCCTTGCATTTCTCCTTCACCTGCTTTGTCTTTCGGTCACACTCAGTCTGCATATTTGCAACTGCTCTGTTTACAGCCTGCCTTTTTTCCTCCTCCATTTCCATACGCAGCTGGAATTTTAAAAAGCACGTGAGTGGATGGCCAGGCATGGTGCTTCCAACTCTTTCTTCCTCCAAAAACACCTTGTACAGCATTACCCGTGCCCAGTTGCTCTTAACACAAAGTTGCTTGATTCCCGAGGGGCCCAAATCCATCCAATTGGAAAGAGATCCACTAGTACTCACCTTGAAATATTCCAGGGCTGCAATTTGAAAGAGAAGGAATCACTGGTGACACTGGGGTGAAGCTACCACGTGGCTTGGCTAAAGGTCAGATGTGTTCAGTCCTCCACAGCAAAAAATGCTGAACTTCCCCAGACTGTATTGCTGCACCAGTTTGGTCTAGTGGTTAAGGTACCAGGATAGAAACTGTGAGACTGTGAGTTCTAGTTCCACCTTAGGCATGAAAGCTGGCTGGGTGACTTTCAGTCACTCTCACCCCAATCCACCTCACAGTGTTGTTGTGGGAAAAATAGGAGGAAGGAATATTGGGTATGTTCACCACCTTGAGTTATTTATAAAAATAATAAAGGTGGAATTGTCAGGCACAGGAAATCAGGAGCCTGGATAGAGTTCAAAAGCACTATGAGTTTATTCTATGCAACCTATACACAAGAATCTGATCTATTAATGGTCAAGGTGAATTGTAAGAGCCATGGTGGTGCAGTGGTTAGAATGCAGCACTGCAGGCTAATTCACTGCTCATTTCAGGAGTTCGATTCTGACCGGCTCAAGGTTGACTCAGCCTTCCATCCTTCCAAGGTCGTTAAAATGAGGACCCAGATTGTTGGGGGCAATATACTGACTCTGTAAACTGCTTAGACAGGGATGTAAAGCACTGTGAAGCAGTATATAAGTCTAAGTGCTATTGCTATAGCTATTGGCACCAGATAAGAGTCAACAGACTTCAAGGGGGACTGGACTTACTGGGGACATATACGGGGGCATAGCGAGTCCAAACTGATGATGCATTTGACCCTGCCCTTGGGCTCTGCTTGGTCATCTCCTACAGGGATAAAAATAAATACTATCTGCACATTAGAAATTCAAGTGATCTGCACAAATGCAGGGGGATATACAATGTGGCTTCAGCATCTGTAATGCAGCAGGTGAGTGCTACCACTAGATGCTTTGCTTCAGTTTAAAAAGACACTTTCTCTTGCAGGTGTCAGCAGGTGTAACCTTAGAAAATCTTACAACCTGAACTCTTACCCTTCCTGGAAGAAGAGAGTGTCAGTCTTGCATATCAACCAAGCAATTAGTCCTTGCTTAATCAACCTTTGGTTTGTTTTCTTGATTCCTGCTGCCAGAACCCAGAAGAAATGGACAAAATGCAGCAGCATGGGCAGTTATGGGCATTCTTTGATATGCCCACATAACACCACTACTGTGCAAGCTACACTAACTTCCTCTAGGCTTCTGGGGATAATTCAAGTTGTTTATAATCACCTATAAACCCTACATGGCACAGGGATGGCCTATTTAAAGCCCTGCTTTCTCCCAACATCATCTGCTCCTTTCTACATGCTTTAAATAAGTGAGCATGCTCTGGGTCCTCTCCTTGAAATAATATCACCTTATGGGACTTAGGAGGTGTGTCTTTTCTGTGGCAGTTCCTTCCCTCTGCAACAATCCCTCCCCCAACATACAGTGGGCCCCAATCCTGCAGGACTTTAGTTAAAATATTGCTTTCTCCCTTGGCCGTTTGGATCTGGATGATTAGATCTCCTGTCTGAAAGTGCAATAAATTGAGTTTCTGGTTTTGATTGTTTGCATCATTTTTAGTTGATACTGTTTTTTTTGTTTTGTTTACTGGTCTTTTATAGCCTGCACAGAGTTGCACTGTTCAAGTTGGGCAGCATATTAAGTACATACAAATTAAGCCAGTTTGGTTTGTTTGCTTTGCATTCAGTATGGTGTCTGAACATACCCAATACCTTCTTCCCCAATTACAAGTCATTGTTAGAATCAGCCAAGATGGGTAAACTGATAACAAACTGTGGATATACATCATGCTTCATGGTCAAAGATAAATGATAGATTCCTTTCAAGGGCGGGTTCATAGATCACATTAAACAGAACACAGACCACAGAGTGGCTTAGCGTTAAGGGCAAATTCGGCTCAGATTTTCAACGTGGAATCCTTTACTGTGCTTTTATCGGAGATGATGCATGAGTCCTAGGCATCCAGTAGAATCCCCAGTGATGACAAAGTGATGGGTACATCAAGATGTCTTTGCACAAATCACATATAGTAAACACTTGTGTCATTTTGCATCACAACACAACATGCAGGAAGAATGAAATTTGTGTCACTCTCCCAATGTTGTCATGAGCCTTCCTGCCCTCCCCTGTCCCTCCTCACACAACCACAAAACCCTTGCAGTGGGGCAATGGACTTCTTTTCTAATATGATCAATTGTAGAAGAATATAATTGCACTGTGATCAGCCAGGGGATTATCATCCTTCTACAGAAGAGTGGCTACCTTCCAGGACAGAATGAATGAAAAGACATATGTATGGAAGTAAATTTTAGTAACTATGAATAATTAGGATTAATTAGAATATTCTCAACCTCCCATTAAACTCACAGTTACCTTCTCAACAGCTTCCCGCACAACCCTCTCTATTTCCCTCTTGTGATCAGCCTTGATTCTATCCTTGAAGTCGCTGAAGATTTTGGTGTATTTCTCGTGGCACATGTTTTGACACATGCCATCGTTATTCGTCTGGGTGCTCCGGTGCAGCATTTTAGGGGAAGAGGCACTTAGTTTCTTGGTCTGGGTTGAGACTGAAATGTTTTCAGTGGGTTGAGGCATTGTGGGGATTTCCTGACTTGAACTCACTGCTTCCGTTTCAGGCTCTGGCTCCTAACATAACAAAGAAGGTGTCACTACAATGGCCAATGAAAAGAACTACAACCATTTAGCTCAGAGAGATAAAGACTGAAATGTGTGTATTGAATCAATTATAAATATTAGTTAGGTAAAAACTAACTGTGGTGTCCTTTAAAGACAAAAATGTAATGCTGTGTCATACAATTAAGTCATAATCATGCCAAGGACTCTACCATTTCACAAAAAGGGAAAATTATATGCATTATGGTACCAATAGAAGAGAATATTTGTAGTTCTGGGTTGAACTGTGCAATCCTTGGTGCTCTCTGAGCTTGGTTGTTTTGTTGCAGACATTTCATTACCCAACTAGGCAACATCATCAATGCAGCACTGATGATGATACCTAGTTGGGTAATGAAATGTCTGCAAGACAACAACCAAGCTCAGAGAGCACCAAAAACTGCACATACTGTATGCATTATAAAATATCATTACTTAGTAATAAGACTTCTGTTTCCAAATTACTGAGCTTTGCACATCTCCATTCACTAGCATTGTAACCTTGCAGAATAGGTATCTAGGCGTCTCTGAAGATACTCAACAGTTCAATAGGTGTGCGCATATATTTGGAATGTACACCTCAGTTTTTTCCTTCTTTTTGTCAACTGGTCCAAACAAAAATATTCTAAAGTTAAAACTGTCACAGCTAAATTACAGTTAGGCAGAAGTCAAGAACCTGCATGGAATCTTATAGCCTTACATTCCATCTCTATTAAGGATAGATGAGTTGGAATCCATTCCAAATGAATACTCCAAATTATAAGAAAGATCCAATTTGGATAATGTGACTAGAATAAAAGATGAATTAAAACAATACTTTTAAATGAAGAAAATAAAAACAAATTAAAATATCCTCTTTCAAGAAATGATAATCACTTTTCTGAGTCATAAAACATGAAGAAAATGAATTTGTAAATATTCAGAAGGAAAAAATGCTTGAATAATGTTTTCTCCCTCACCCACAAGTGCATGTATTTAATTGCCAAGCTGTTCCTTACTTCCTTTTTAGGTTCCACACTTTGATTGCGTCTTCCTTTCTTTGCTCTTGGCTCCTGAGTAACCTTTAGCTGGGGAAATGGATGAAGAAACAATAGCAATAAATAAAAAAGGAAATACTCATTTAGAATTGTCAGTACGAAATCAGTCTTTCATTTCTTGTTGCAAAAATGTTGACTGAAATTTCAAAAATTCAACTTATAAATGTTGATCATCAACTATTTTTGGCCACAAACTGAATTGCAAAATTTGGTAAAATTCCAGCTGCTCAAATTAATATACAAGTCCCTATATATCAAGGTGCCTCACCCCCTAAATTGCTATGCTCATATGTTTTAGAGTACATGAAAAAGTCCATTACCAAGAGAGCTTGGAATTTTTTTATCTGAGAGAACAGAACAGAGGCACGCTCTAACTTGTTTCTATAATGAAGTTGGAACAAAGCAGGCAGAGAAACAAAACCCAGCAAAGTAGGTATTAGTTTCAGCCATCTAAAACAAGAATGTAAACGAAATCTAAACTCCAAAACTGTTTTGGGATTTGAACCCAATGTGAATCAGTCTACAAACTATGCATTTTAAAAAACCAAACAATGAAAGAGAAAAGTGGTTTCCATAACATATATTAGATTTTAAACAGTTATACAAACTTCAGGTACAAACAACTGCCAATTCTAAAAAAGAGGGTGGAATTGTTATTGCTGCAAATCTTTAGATCAGATACAGTGATTAAAAGTAGTGTAAGGACAGAATATACAGACCCATTACTTTTACTGCCCTGAAATCTATGGATCAGTTCATATGAACAAACCGTGATCCAGTGGATCACGATTCTCGGTGAGAGCAGCTGGAGGGTCGGGTTTCCATCTTTTCCTGATGCTGTTTGTTTTTGTTTTAGGCATGCCTCTGTTTTAACATCATGTTTTGAAGATTCCTTTTGTTTTGACTTACATTTTTAATTGTTAATCATCTGGTGGAATACTTATTTTATACCCCCTGGCTGGATTATAAATGTCCATTTTTACTTCTTTTTACTGTTTTACTTTGGAGTTAGGAAACACTTTTGGTTTTGCCACATGGAAATAGGCAGCATGAGGTCTTTCCCTTTGGCAGTGAAAATGATTTGATTTAATTTACATTTACATTTGATTTTTACTGCAAGGATTTTGTATTTTATTAGTTTTTAAAAGAACTCCACTGTTCTATTTTTGTATATATCTCTGGTCTTTTTTTTTTTTTAAAGAGGAACTTTTTTTCTATTCAATCTTTATTGTGGGAAATATTATCTCAATTTTCTCTGTGGTTACTCTGTTATGGAACATCTACTTCTTTTGTCCTTGAGAGGAATTGCCTATGTTTTGTTGTGAAAGCTTGTCCATAAGAGAGATCTGAACTATAGTAAAATGAAAGCAACAGTAAATTAAGGCCTTTCAACATTATATATTCTTCACAATGCCCACAAAAAGAGATACAAAAGAAAGGTGGGAGACAGATCAACTTAATGTCAAAGCTTTTCAATTACAAGCTCCAAATGAAAATTTAGATAAAAGGTTTGATGAAGTAACAACAGTTTTAAATCAACCTAAGGATGTCACCCAGATACAAGTAACAGCAGCTAAATCAGGCTTGCAGTTGGGTGGATTGGAATCTAATTTGTTGCTGGCAGACTTGAAGGAGAAGGAACTCTGCTTGAGAGGTGGAGGCTCCTTGGAAAGGGCTGAAAGAGGCATGAATTCAAAAGATTTAGAGATGGCATGCCTGGCTGAGGAATTCTGGGAGTTGAAGTCCACAAGTCATAAAAGAGCCAAGTTTGAAGACCCCTGGCCTAAACCTTTACAATAAAAAGGATGGAGTTTCAGAGGACCAGAATCTGGTGCAGTGTTTGCCATATGACTGAAATATGGGTATTCAGATCTTTGATAAGAAGAAATCAGATTAAAGAAACTGCTTTACTTCAACTGGTCTTTATTAGCTGGGATGACTTAACCCATCTACTCACTTGCTCATTACTGGTAGAAGAAATGCTCGATTCTGCTTCCTCTTCTCCTTTATCTTCATTTTTGGATTTCCAGAATCTGCCATCCTGAAGGAAACGTTGATGCAGCTCTAGCTCATCACATGCTTTTTTCCAGCCCATGCTACGCTTTACATGTAGCCGGTGTATATTAACGGTGATATCCTGAATATTTTCTGAAGGAATCCAAGCCCTCCACAATGAAAATGAAAAGATGCACTTAAGCACGTTACACATCCTTTGAAGGTGGCTGCTAATTCAATTTTCAAATCATCCTTTTCTATGCCAAGCATCCATTCAACTCCATGTGTACTTACCTAAATGATGAAAAGAGTCTCCTCCATTGGGTTTCAGTGGTCACAGCTCCCATATTGAGTTTTTTAAACACCCCCCCCCAAATACTCTTTATACATTCCCAATTTTAACTTTAATTCTATTTCAATTTTCATTTAAGGGCTCCTGCCCTTTGGAACATTTTAGCCCTTGTGGTGACATTGGCTCCCACCCTCCTGACTTTTCATATGAGCCTTAAGACCTCTGCCAGATGGTTTGGGGGCACAATGGGAGAGCTTCAAACTGGAGGTGGTTGTCTTAACTAAATGATAAACCCACCTCCCCCCCCCCTGTGTATCCAGCTCCCTCCTTTGCCATCTTGTGTTACTGATTTTAATCTACTTTGTCATTTTATATCTGATTTAAAGTTTTTTAATGTTTTTATGCTGTAAGCCACTCAGAGTCATTTGACACAAGATGGGCAGGAAATATATTTCAAAATAAATAAATAAATTCTCTCCTAGTCCATCATCTTGCAATAATTATTTTAGCGTGCAATTCCAGCTTCTCAATATGTTTAAATTTATAATATCTATGTGCTCCTGAATGACATCACAGTTATTTAGACTGCAGTACAAAAAAAATAATCTGAATTATATTAAAGACTATTCCTATGGCAATTTTAAAAAGCAAACTCTTTGGGCAGGTTCTGTTTAAGATTCAGATTGTCTAAGCTCACATGTCAGGAATATGAAGTTATTTATTGGATTTATATCCCACTTTATTTTGTTCAGTTCAAGAAGACATACATAATGCTCCCTGCTCCTGTTTTTCCCACCAAAATCACCTTATGAGGTGAGCTGGACAGTGCTGACCAAATGTGACTGGGCCCAATTCACACAGTTGGCTTCTCTGGCTAAGAGAGGATCAGAAATCTACTGGGTCCTAGTGTCAGCCTCCCCCCTCCCCAAAAAACAAACCCAAGAAAGACACATAGAGTTACTTCCAAGAACGTTCCTTTATTGTTCTTCACCCATAAACAGAAATCTTGTCAAACTAAAGCAACTAAACTGCCCAGAGTTACCCCGAAGTAAGATGGGCTTACTATACACACACAGAGAGAGACACAAACAGTGCATTCAGAAAGTAGTCAGACACCCTTCACTTTTGTCAATTTTGTTATGCTGCAGCCTGATTTTACAGTTGTTGAAATTCATTATTTTTCTCATTAATCTACACTCAGTACCCCATAATGACAAAATGAAAACAAGAAGTTTAGAAATGTCTGTAAATTTATTAAAAAGAAAAAACTGAAATATGACATTGGCATAAATATTCAGACCCTTCACTCAGTACTGGCAGCAATTACAGCCTCGAGTCTTTTTGGGTATGATGCGACAAGCTTTGCACACCTGGATTGGGGGATTTTCTGCCATTCTTCCTTGCAAATCCTCTCAAGCTCAGTCAGGTTGGATGGTGACCGTCAGTGGACAGCCATTTTCAGGTCCCTCCAGAAATGTACAATTGGGTTCAAGTCAGGGCTCTGGCTGGGCCACTCTAGGACATTCACAGAGTTGTCCCTAAGCTACTCCTGTGTTCTCTTGGCTGTGTGCTTAGGATCATTGTCATGTTGGAAAGTGAACCTTTGGCCCAGTCTGAGCTCCTGAGCGCTGTGGAACAGGTTTTCATTGAGGATATCCCTGTACTTTGCTCCATTCAGCTTTCCCTCAACCCTGACCACACAACATGATGCTGATATATATACTCCTAGAAGCACGAAGCTGAAGACACCAGCCTGAAGATGACGAATGTGACTTCGTCAAAACGTCGCCAAGACATTTCCAATTTTACGCGGGAGAAAACCCGATTAACCAAAGACCTACATATATATATATATATATATATATATATATATATATATATATATATATATATATATATATATATATATATATATAT